TCGGTCGTACTTTCCTACTGACCACAAAACGGTGTGCTTTTCCAAAATATCATTCACCATTTTATCTAAAATTAGATATGTCAAAACGCATAGAGAAGCAGCAATAAAAACCGTCTCCGGATCGTGTATTGGCAATATTAAGTTAACTGGATTTCAGGTTTATTTGATTAAGGCGGTACACTTACTGAATTAAGTGCGCAATTAATAACATGCTAACGAAAAATTTGGGATTTCTAGAGTTTTTTAGTGGATGAAAGACACTGGCAATTGTCTCTGGGGATTTGTTGTCCAACTAAGTACACTTGGGATTTGCATGGTGTTCAAGACATTATGATGCGGTGCTATGGACAGCCCAAAACCCACACTAAGTAAGCGTCATCCAGCGCCAAGTGAGTGGCTGGGGTTGTATTGCATCTGGGATCATTTGTAAATGCACACTTGGTCCTAGTTGCGGACCGGAGTTTTCGCAGGTCGAAACAAGGGCGCGTAAAACGGTGACACTTTTTCAATCTACCCGCTCATAGCGACAACTAGTCTGTAAAAACCTGAAAGTGCGTGGTCGCTGCTAGGTGAAAGGATTTCTAGCAACTCCATGAAGTTCTTATAAGGGTACCGCAACTCGCCTGATCTCAAGCACCTTGGGTATTCCAAAAACTGCTTCAATGTTCTTTTGCACTAATTTTAACCATGTGAGACAGACAGACCTCGTGTACAAACTTCTGGTCCTTTTTAAATCCGATTTTATAACCCCTAGGTAGATCAGCCTTCCGACTTTCAAAGCATTAATGATTAGGGTATACGCGCCTGGTTGTAGTGGCAAAAAAATAGTAAAATTTAGGTCTTAAACTGCTTTTCACGCTTATGTCCAGCTTTTATAAAAAAACAAGTCAAATCAGTATTTTTAAAAATTTAATTAGGACGTTCAATTATCTTTTTTTTGAGTCATCTTTTCAATCACCGAACTTCAGGATTGGCAATAATCTATGCTTTGATTCGAACCACAACTCCAGTCCTGCCAATAATTTACGCGGCCAAGTTGAATAGACTGGATGCCTAAAAATTGCTTATGATCTGGTATTGCTTCCACACTACCATAAAAGTCTGCCTACGTAAAATCAAATTACTTCGAAGAAGGCTATTAAAAATGTAGCCGAACTATGGTCAGTAAATATTGTATTTAATTAAATCTTTATTTAGCCTAACAATGAAGTAATTGCCTTTAATGACTCATTCTAAATCAAGATGAGCAAATCAGAACAACACAGTTTGGTTCACTTTAGGTCACTCACAGAAAAACAAACCTAGGGTCGACTAGAGTGAAAAAAAAAACACCAGAAGGGGATAAGCAGTCGTTCTTGACCAAATTTGGAGAACGCGAAAGAATGCCGACAAAAGTTGTCGTGAATATCACGGTTGTCATTGTAGGCAAGATCTATCATAAGGGATCAGATATTCCTATTCAGAAGCATGAAAACGGATAAAATGTAGCAATAGGCTTTGCTGATGTAAAGAAATGATTTTCTCGTTTTCTATGGTCTGTGACGCAAGTTGATTCCCATAGGGCCGTGATGATCCAGTCTGCAAAAGCAGAAACATTTGCACTTATTTTTCATCAGTAGCGATAAGTTTACATTTACGTAAGAATTAACTTGGGGATACATTGAATTGTTTCACTTATCTTGCAGACTGGAATGAAGTATAAGAAAATGATAGAAAATTCAGGTTTTATATTACCCGGTGTATGCATTTTCATTCTTTAATCAAAGCAGTCGCTAGTTTGTGGCGCAACGTCCACTCATTTCTTCAAATATAGAAAAAAAACTACGTGGATTCGCATGCGCCCAGTCTCTCCATCTTAGTATTTCATGCACACGAATGATTTTCTGGGATGGCCTTAGCTGTGAGAATGCGCAGGTGCCTTTCAACATAAAATGCACTCAGCCACTAATGGGCAACTTTACCCAGCTCATTTACCACATTCAAGCAGTCTCATCCTTTTGTTGGCTTGTTCGACATTTTTAAGGTCGTAAGCTGGATAATTGTTGTTGCAGACTCAGTTTGGGACGCAATTTCTACGAAATATGGCCTTATTTGGTCGTGAGGAAAGAACAACTTCATCAGTGGGGAAAACGGTATGGCAAAAGCTTGATGGCTTTTGTTTTATCAAAATCCGAGACATTGAAATTGTGCTAACAGGTCTGAAAAGGACGGAAATTCACACTGCACGTGCTTGTGAACACGCTGTAAGCCTATTTTTTGAGATTTCACAAAGTAGGATAGAGAATAAATTCGCATATGCATAATCGGGTTTGAACGTAAGGCAATTTACCACTTAAGTATTAAAATTTAGAAGCGGTTTGACCACTAATAACTCTTCAACCTTGGTAACGGGAAGGCCTGTTTTCGTTGTTGGATGGTGGTTGGTATGGCCAAATCGCTTGAGAGCAGGAACTAGAAGTGAACCCAGGCGATCATTGGTAGATGTATCATTGTTGTCAGTCGATTTACGATATTAGCCCCTATTTCCCGTCGGGCCTGTAAAAGTTTGGCTGCAAACATTCCGGGGATTTGTGTCTGGGCTGTGGTCAGAACAGCTAAACCTTCATTCCTAAGCAGTGTTGATTAGACCAGTGCTAGCGACAGCCACACCACATTGTGATGAGCCTCTGATTATCAGAAAAAAGGGTAGATGACTTTGGCTGGGGCGGTCGATTAGGTGGGTTCAAGGCATACGAGAAAAATATCGTCTTCTTACTCACTGTGTTTGAAACCAAAAGTGTTTCCTAATGTCTAAATGTATTCTAAAAGGTTCATTATCTGCACATTGTAGCAGACGGCATTTAAAGTTACGTCAAATAAACACATGAGCACAAAAGGACAACGTCTTTGGAGCATTGAAAATTACTTTCGGTGGATTCAGTTGAGTGTGGGTCAGTTTTTTTTTGTCTCACGTAGGCATTCGACTCAAATGCATGAGTCTGACCATGAGTGTTGGAATATTGCAAAGAAGGGTTGTGTAGAGGTTTTCGGTGCTGTTCCCAAAACTAAATCTGCAGAGGAATGGCCTAGATCTGTCTCACAGTTGATCAAAGCCCAAGTAGGTCGGATTTGAATGATCACCTTGAGTTCTGGGTATTCACGAATTTATTTCACATCCGTGTCAGTCGGTCGCAGAACAGAAGTCAAACCAAGGACCAACTTCAAAATGCGGTTTCTTTTTAGACGCTGAAACGCGGTGCCAAGCTATCTGTGTTCATTTTGCTCATTGACACTGTTGAAAACGGCATCGCCTAACGAAAACACAGAGATAAATCCGGTCAGTCCCTAATGAACTAAACACTGGAATGTTTAAGTCGCTTTTGGGAAACTAAAAGGCATTTAAACAAATTTGATTAAGGTAAATGGAATCGTTATTGACGTTTTTGGTACATTTGATGGTTCTGTGGAATCCGTAGTACTCTCGCAACAAATGTAGCTTATAAAGCAGTGATTTGCCATTTAGGCCGGAGTAGAAGTTTAGATTTCGCATAGGGAAGGGCTGTGTTAAGAGCACGGCGACCAGCAAGCAGACGCCCTTCAACAACGGTTTTCACCAGAGCCACAGGAAGTGCTAATGGAAATCTGCGGCTTGATTAAATAAATGTCTTAAGCCACGTCATGCTTGACCTTGGTATATGCGGTTGACGAAAGTCGACGTACTGAGCCCTTGGCGAAATCCTTTGCGTGACTGTCCGTCGAACGCCATTCTGCTGATGGGAATGTTGGCAGGGTCGTGATAATTTCGCCAAAGTGTAAGCAGGAGACCGCGTTTGTTTGTAAAGCGGTAATTTTAGTGGTTTTGAATGTATTTTGTAACGTACCTTTGCCTGCAAGGCTGTTTAAACGGTCCACTGGGCATGGATTCTTAAAGTTGTTGAGATAACCAGAAGAGTTTTAAAATTTGGTGTCCATGTTTGGATGCATTTAAATGAATGAAATAGCGATGCAATCTGAGTTCAAGAACAAGGGGTATTCTCTCGAAAATTAAACGTGTTGGTTAACTTGATACGGACAAAGTGTACAAGTTTGATCGTTTTTCCGTGGTCGTTTGTGGGACAAATAATATACCCAAGTCTGAGCTGCAAATCGGCTAACGTGCCATATAAGAAAAGATGATAACAAATCCCTGTTGACAGTAATAGTCTCTACTGTCGTGCGTCCTTGTTTCCCGACCATTTTGCGTGTGGATGAGGTAGGACAAGTGCACGAGCACACTGGAGGGCTGCATACCCGGAGGTCCGTTGGCGCTAGCGTACTTTCAGAGAATTCGAAGGCGAAGAAGACGTAGGACGCGATTTCAAGCCTTGTTCGGATGACGGGTGACCGCGTTTTCTGCGACGCAGACTGATGTCAAGGGATGTGTTAAATGGTGGCTTTCACAACGGGCCCTAAGTGTAAGTTTTCCTAGCACTTGGCTTCTTAGGCTCTGGACTATCCTTCAGACAAATGAAGTAGACTGATCGGACGACATTATTTTGAAGATTATCTGTGGAGCGCTCCCTTACGAATTTAACGCCCAACATAGGGGGACCACCCACTATCTACAAATTCAGAGTTACTGTATCCAAATCGTCGTTTACTTGAGACTAAACAGCAAAGATATCTGGTCATTATGGGTTATTTCAGGTACACCTGCTATTGCAAATTGAGGACGACCTCGAGCAGAACTGAATTCATCGAGCCGATGTGACACTGACATCCACCCCACGCCCGGACCGAACAAGCGCTCCGCGGCTCGTTGCAACTCGCACATCGATCTTTGGAGGCGCGGATGCGCGTCTGCGCCGCACAGCCTGGCCACATTCCAATTGGTTACTTATGTTGACCAACCAGTGTGTCGCATTACTCATGCGCGCTTTCAAGTACTGCTACTTGCGCACACACACGTATACATAGTGTCCCAAACTGACCCAAAAATCGGTTATTGTTTTCTCGTGTGCGGTCGGGCGCGCACCGTCCTGATGCCTCCATCCCGTCCCACGCCCCCTCTCACTCACGGCCAGATGATGTCATCACAAGAAAATAAGGCGGTATTTCTTCCAACGAGGTCCCCTCTTGTGAATTTAAATCATTTCAGTCATAGGGATCCGTCTAAGAGACCCTTCAATGACGAGGTCCCATCCAGTAACAGCAAAAGAAATGGGGGACCGGCCACTTTATTCGCCTACAGTGTTACGGAATTCAATGAATGCGGTCGATGTGAAAAGGCTCGATTGGCTGGTCTAGACTCCTGGATGGATCATTTAGGGAAAGTTCATACAGTCCCCTCAAGATGGCCAAGTTCCAAAATAGATGACGTGGTAATGGATGAGGGACACCCTTACACCTCTGTCGTAGATTCGCACAAGAAAAGAAGATCAACGGGCGTCCCACGACCTCTCAACAGCTTCATGGTGAGTCTCAAATTGTGTATGACAGATGTTTAAGAAGGGCGGGCCAGTGTTTACCAAATCGATACCCCGAATTGTCCGAAATCGCTTACTTACATACATTAATGCTGATTCAATCGGAATAAATTGGTGCTCAAAATCTGCTCGCAGACTGTACAAGCACGTAGATCTGTGTAATGTGTTGTGTAGCCCTCGGCTGATTTTTAGTGGAAATGGAATGTTCCTGTTTTGCAAATTTCGGGCAGATATACGTACTCATTATTGGAATAACTAAAAAATGCTCACCATATAATGGTAAACGATGCGTCCCCATTTAAGAAACTCACGAGAAACCAATCAATTTGAAGCCTCACCAATTTCGGGTCCTAACATTGTTTTGCATTGTACAAGGCAATGAAGAGTGAATAGCAAATTTCGCCAGCAGCTATAGATCCAAATAATCTTTTTTGGTGATTAAATCATTCGAAAATGCGTTTACTCTGAAATATTTTCATTCAAATTCATTAAATAAGAACTAAGCGAAGGTTAGTGGACACAAGGCCAGAGTGTTATTAACCGAAAAAAGCTGCGAAGACCGTTGGGAGATCGTGTGGTGCTTTTAAAATACCAAATGTTGTGGGATTTGCAGCTTCCCATTTTAATCTCTATCAAATCCATTTCAAAAAGACGTTTCCTAGAATCCAGAGTGGTCATGTTAAATATCGGTTCCGGTGAAGGTTGCATTCGGATTTTAGAGGATGCTTCTGGCCCTTAGACTAATTGCCTTTTTTTTCAATTGTACTTATGGCAAAGCCCACCGGAAAGAAACACAATTAGGTGGTTGAACTGATTAGGATTGACCAATGTCTGTCCTGCAATTACATTCTCACCCAAATATACGGCGACAAACTCACTTAAAATCGAGTAGATATCATTTGAGTTGGGCGGATTCTGAAGACGATTTGCTGTAAGCTCCACAATAAACCTCAGTAGTAGCAAGGTTACATGCTATCTAATCAAACTATTCTTCATCGTGTATGGGTCAGGGTTTAATTTTTTACTACTCATTTTGCTAGCAGCTACGTTGTAATGTCTTATGGTCGACTTTAGTTGGAGTAATAGGGTTTCCCTGTTAGGTATGGCAGGTGATTTATGAAATGTTTTTTCGCTTGTGACATAGTCAATTTTTTAACCTTCCTATCGCTGAATGTATGTAAACATTATTGCGACAAACGACTCAAATCTCGATTTTTTTACGTGAATATTTAAATGCATTGAACATTGCTAAGTTTAATGCGACCGGGTTTCCGGCAGTGAATATGCTGGTTGGTGAGTCTAACTCCCTATGCTGGATATGGCTAAGTGTAGGCAAATGCCGAAGTAGGTGAGGATGATTTACGGTTGGCTGATTAAATGCAGCTTAGAGGAGCGTATTTTGCAGTGACTAGTTCTGACGGAAAATCGAGGTTCCACTTGGACTAAAGGTCTGGCAGTTAAACCTTAACCACCTTGCTACAGGGGTAAGGTAGAGCTCAGGGGTGTTCGTGTTTGCATGTTATTTATCCGTGGTTAAGCGGCGGTGGAAGGTCTTTAGAAGGAGTTCGTCTGGTTTTAATAATACTACTACTAATAATAATAATAACATGCTGTCAAAATGAAGGGGACATTTGTAACAAACTCATTGCCTTATTGCTGGATGTTACCTATTCACGAGTAGGGTAAACTTATCTCACACCAGTAAATTATGTTTAGTACAATGCTTGCACAGCATCATTGTTGTTCAATGCTAAGTTACTATAGATATCCTTAACAGATTCAAGGCACTGACTCTGAAATCTCGTTGATGGACAAATATGTCCTGTATTTTGACGGAGTTTTCAGGAAAGTTTTTTTTTTCGAGGGATACTTTTAACAACTTATAGCGTTCAGTCCTTTGTAAATGTAAGTCTTAATACTACTCCAGTGAATTAAACTGTAAGGATAATGGAGAGAGGGAGTGCGCGCCTCCCTATCGCCTTACAGTGCGATTGGATGCTTTCGCAATATGCGGAACAGTACAGTCGCAACCTGAGAACGTGCGATACGTGGCTACTACGCCTGTTCACTGACCCGGAGACAAGTTTGCTAAAGCCCGGAGAGGAGTCACTGTGATCGTCACAAGAACGTGTTTTCAAAAACCACGTTTTGTCAGGTTATACAATTGGACATTTTAGAAATGGGGCATCATATTGCTTATTATTGATTACTTTAAGAAATATTTATTCCCTAATTAAGGACCCGATTCTCGCTGAAAGTTGTCATACACATAATACTGTGTGGATAACTCCCCGAGTTCGGTGTAATTATTTATCATAAACTCCCTGTTTGAATTTTCTCTGAAAGTATAAAGCATTGACGTTCTATTTCATCTAATGCCTTTGAGATAATATGTCAATTCGCCACATTACTCCAGCGACCTTATTTGAATCCTCGACAGAAGGTTCATTTTCGTTCTCTCCACGCTTTAGGGAATAATTTACTGCACTTCCTGTTTTTTTGGCACACATTCATCTTCGTATGCTCAGTTTTTTTGCTATTTAACTACTCAGAGGCACTAACCTAAAACTTTTATTCGAATTCTCAATTTACTTTGATAACTGTGGTCTGCTTCACTGTTCACTTTCACCATTATACGTTGTAAATAGCTTCATTTGATGGGCAATCTTATGTTCTGCCTCAGGTCTATTGAGCCAAGGCTATGAGTCTGCTGCCGGATGCAAAACGAAGTCCTGCTAGAATAGCCAATGCCATAATGAACTAATAGTCGACTAATGCTTTCTTACCATATTTCGATCGGCCTGTCTCCATAAAGATCAAAAATACTTTTCACAATAGATTTGATTGTTGAACTTGTGGCCCTTCAGTTAAATAACTGTATCTCCGATGGGGGACAGGGGAACCCTGACGATCAACGTTTAATCCCCTAAAGGGGATTACGTGGTAAAGCAGGAAATCCCAATGGTTTTGTCGTTTGAATACACCGGCGACACGACAAGTGTTGTTGCGGTTTTGTACAAAAGTACCACAGCACGGGAGTCACAATCAAGCCAGGAAAGTTGCAGAATGTTTCTGTGCATGGCTGTCATTAGCAAGCTGTTGGTAGCGCTTGGCACAAAAGTCTTCGAAATGGGTGGTCAACGTGCTGATTAAATCAGCGACGTCCGTTGTAGCTACCTGTACACCGGCGTTCGCATTCTTTTACTCCCTAACTGCGCGAAATCGGGGGACGCTGTGTGCAGGACTACGACAGCACGTTCTGTCTTGCAGGGATGTGAAAACGCCTAGTCCCCCATTCTCTTAAGTTAAATGACTCATTGATTGTATGAAGGGGGCAGTGTTACCGTGACACGGCTTGGATTTTCAGTGTCCTGTTACTAATTTTAGTATTTTTTAATGCGATCATTTAATGTAGAATTTTAAAGGCATCTGCGTGTATCTTCAACCGTCTGTACTTAGTTAATCATGGTCTCCACACCTCTTTGAACTTTTAATAATTGAAGTCAAAGCAATTAGCGGCATTTGAGACGTTTCGAATCGGTTTTCAGCAAACCATTTCATTAATCTAGCTTATACAAAACCCCAACGTTTCGTCGCGTTTTTGATGCGGAGTTTTGGTATTAAAAAGGACTACTAACATTATTAGAAATTGCCTCCAGAATACCAGCTATGGAGTTTCTAGGTATCATATTTAACAGGCGTGCGATTTGTGAGACAAGTGGAAGAACAAGTGATTGCTTTGCAGACAGGAAAATGCCCGGGAGTTAGTGTTTAAAGACCTTGATTACTAAGGTAGGGTGCGATACACATATTTCGATGCGTGCAAATGGGGAGCCATCGTAATGAATTAATCCCTAAATTCATTCTCACCGCAAAAGATGGTTCAAGTTAACTGATAAGCCATGTTTGTTTGCCGAACTACGTTATCCCACGCCTTCAGGTTATGAGTTACTGGTTTCACAGTACGGTTTCAGTCCTGTTTAAAACCTCAAGAATCCTCTAAATGTAGATGAACCAGAAAGCAATTTTCCTCAACGGGTGATATTTGTCTATTGTAGATTTTTGCACAGTACATTCGCCGGATGACACTTTCAAATTTTCCCGACGCTCCAAATGTCCACATTAGTCAACAGGTGGGACGTCTTTGGCGGAACCTCTCGAACGACTTTAGGGAAGTCTATGCAAAAGAGGCGCGTCGTCTTCAGATTCTTCACGCCCTCGAGTTTCCCGACTACAAGTACCAGCCACGTCGGCGTCTTCGGCCCCTTGATGGCGAAGACGTCGACCCTCAGCCCTCCCCTCTCCATTCCGCAACCAGCAAATTACCTTCAAACATAAATGTCAGTCGATATTTCGAAGAGCTTCTCCACTACAGTGACCCTGGAATTCAGCCCAAGCCCTCTCACCCGATTGGTTTTGACACCACGACGCGATTGGAGTTGCATAACAGCTTGCCGGACTTGAGTTTACTTGGTCGCGAAACTAACATGGATACGTTGACATCTCTTCAGGAAGTATCAAGGCAGCAGCAACCGGAAGAGCCAGCTACTTGCCAATCTACTTTTCACTATTCTGCCCACATAGATGGTAATTATAATCGCCTAGGTTGGATGGAAGACAGGCTGCCCGAGTCGTTAGGCTCACCTTCGACCCACCTACAGCCTTTCGTCACATCTTTTTCACAATCGAATGACTTACTCCCATCCAATGAACACTGGTATCAATACCCTAAGGAGAATTCCCTTGGGGAGGCCTTACCTCTTCCTGGAATCGAAACCTGGACCTTTAGTGGCTCTGCCACTTAGATAAACCAAAAATTTATACAAAGAATCTGCATATTTTGGTATTTATCCGTCAACTTAATTGTCATCTAGATGTCTTCCGCATCCCTCTAACCTAAGCTCAGTTGCGTGTTATTTCTCTTCAATCGGTTGAACAAAGAATTGAAATCACTTTTTTCAGCTTTGTCTCGATAATTGACATGTTCTTGATTTAATGTTTTGAGATCCGGATTCGCGTTTGAGAGTGCATGACTCCTCTTCACCAGATCTTATCCTATTTTAGTAGTAGTAGAGCTCTTCCTGTCCGCTTTTATGGATTTTGTCTAAAATACTAGTCTCAAGATCTGGTATACCCAACAAGCCTTTAATGTCATAAGTCAACCAGATATACCAAAGCTAGTTTTTTGGAGTGACTGCGCGCCAGTCGATTCATCCCAATAAATCTTAATCGTATGACCATGCGGTATAACGGACACAAGCCTAAGTCCACTGATGTGCAACGTTTGATGAATGCTTTTGTCGGCAATTAGAAGTTGGAAAACGGGAAGTATGCATTAATAGCGTGATGCTTTGGGGTGTGTGTGTTACCATCAGTTCACTGTTCTTCGAGAGTAGCCGATTTGATCTTAGTGGGTGTTAGGCATGGAGACAGGTGAATCTGACCTTAAAGGGTGGCGTAATCATCACAACAATGGACGTGTTGTTCTGGTGGCTGACACGCAAGTTTGTCAGGTTACTGTCAACACTAAAGGCAACCGTATGTTTAAATTCTTTATATGGGAAATTAACAGCCTGCCATTGGTTTAGGTCATGCACAGTTAAAGGGTGTCCTGAAATAGGGATTTAATTTTTTATGCCTTGAACGGTTAGTTGTAGTTTTGAGTTACCAACGTAACTCATCAAGAGCTGTTGAGGATCGTGTGAAATTTACAGGCCGTACAGACAGTTTCTGTGGAAGGATACCTCTATGATATCAAAAAAATTCTTTATAATACGTTTTACTACCCGTTGAATTTATGCGATCATTATGCCTTTCACTTTTGCATAATTTGTGAATTACGGAAAAGCAAACCAGTTATTTTTTATGATAAGCACATGCGTCACTCACTATAGGCTTACACAAAGTATTTCTGATACTTGGGTTACCAATTTTAAGCAAGAGTTGTTGTATACTTTAATACTAAATTATTTTAAGAATTTACAGAAAATCTACAACTCATGAGTTCTTCAAAACCAAAGTTTTTCCTCCGACCCTATGTTCAAATCTTCCATTCCCTTGGAAATACTAGTTTTAAAATAAACCATATGCTCACTGAATTCAAAAATCAGGGCAAACGCTTGCCAATTTGTACCTGAACCATCCACTCCTGTCATGACTTCCATAGCCTGACTTGAGGTGGGCTATTTCTGTCCAATAATGTTTAAAGCAGTCGTGTTCGCTGACAGGTATAAAAAACCTCACTCTCGAAACTTTGTTCATAGCATATGAGTGTCTACCCCAGCTAGTCCAAATAGTCACTACGCGGGTTGTCAGTGAACAGCCATGAATTTATACATTCTCCTAGACAATAATAAGTAGAAACACACGGGAAATAGTGCCACTCAAGGAAATGGTGAACAAATATACCTTAGCTAGAACTTTTACCTATAATAAATATGTGCTATAGTCAAATGGTAGAGAGTTTTCTAAACCTTATCAAACCATCTATTTAGACCCTTTTAAGGGACCTACTTTTGTGGTTTGAAAAAGTGGATTATAACTCGGACAGAAACAATAACGTATGACAAACTCCTAGGTAAACAGATTTAATGGAACCACCCCAGGCGTCTAGGCAATGTTTCTCTTTTTAAATACTATGCTTAGGTAATGCGGCTTTCAATTAGTGAGGGTTTCAATAGGTACCTTTCTACTAGATTTCATGGCAGAATTTTTTTTATGTTCAGGAAGTCAGATAATTAATCTGAATTTGATACTCATTGCATTGAAGCTAACTAAATTTGCTGAAATATTTTGATGCGCGAAAATGCTATTTAAGTTGGTAGCTGTTTTGCTTAGCGGGATCTAAATAATTAGAAACTCCAGTGGTTGTAAACAAGGCGTTATCACAAAAAATTACTAAGAACTACTAAAAATTTTGAATTCATAAGAACGACTGTTTCCTGACGTGCTTGAATCAGGTTAGATTATATCGGCAAATATAGCAGAACCTAATTATCGATAGTCATTATCCATCCATTATTTCTTTACAGGGCTATCAAGAATGTGCTAGTGAATTTCCTAAGCCAGTTTGGCTCAAAGCTGTAGCTTGCTGAAGTCTTGTCCAGTTGGATACAAGGCTGCAGTATCCCTACAGTCAACTTGCAACGCCTTACAATATAAATAATCTTTTTGGGCTCTGCTCTCTCAGTACTTATTTTATTTCCTATTTTCTCTTCGGACGCTTGGATAATGACCAAAGCAATCATCAATGCCTAATAATTCTTCCTCTGCGTCTCCTGTATTGGCGAGTAGATTCTTCATACAACTGACTTGACTTAGGCCAATTATGATAGTGTACACACTTTGAGCATCTATGAGCACGAAGAAGTTGATATTTTCGCAGCATGTTTAGGTGAAGGTATATAAGGCGAAACTTCTCCAATTCAGTTAAAGAGCTGGACTTTTCGTGAGTACATGGTAATACTTAAATAAACGTACAAGTGTCATCATCATCATCATCATCCAATATTCCGGTTTTCAAAATCCAAGCCAAATGTATTCGAATTCTTAGCGCCCTTTGAATGGATCCAGCGACTTTTTTGAATAAGCCATATTTTGTGATTCTATTGTTAAAAGTATTTTATATTCCCTTTAAAGAAATTCGAACACTAGTACACATGCCACAGCAGGGACCCATCTCCTTCAACATGAGGACTGAACGTACTCGACATGTCTCTCCTCATACCTCCACTGCAAATTGAGGAAAAGCACGCAGGTGACGTCGTCTTAGTTTTGAGAGGCAATCGCTGTGACCTTGAAATGGCCTTGTGAGCTCTGTCTGTTTGGTCCTCGTGTAGCTCAGTCGACATGAGCCTTAACTGGTCGCCATGATTCCTTACAGCGTTTTTTTACTGCAGTCCATGATAAATCAGGATGGATTTTAAAAAACCTTACTGCTGCCAACATAGAATTTGCCAATGTTTCTTGTTCTAAAATGCACATCCTTTTCACTTAGCTAGATCTCCAGTCGAATTTAAACCACAAGCTCAGATTAAGGCGCTAAGGTAAATTTCCGTTTACGATTGTCCCTGTAAATCTTATTTCTTAAGATGTAGAAAGTAACATAGTGTTTTCATTGCCGAATTTAGTGACCGTTTATTTGCAGCAAAATTTACGCCAGGAAATGGTTTCTGAAATTAGCTATCATTAACAAAAGTGTCTGATTTTATTGGACAATGGCCATAAAATGAAGTTATATTTATTGCTAGGTTATAAGTCCTGATTAGAAGTCAGTGATTTTTTTTAGCATCATATAAATGTCGCAAAATTACTTTATGACTTTGGTAACGTTCTCCATCACACAGATTGCATGCCTCAGCTAACTAACTTGTTGATTCTCAGGCTGAAAAATGGTGTGTTTGTTATCCGGAAAAACGGACCCAAGCACAAACGTGTCCCATTCAGATATAGCCAACTTCCATAGACAAAGATCTTGCAAAAATAAAACCATTATCATTAGATTGGAAAGTCAAAGGTAATAATCGGTAGACCCTAAATGAAGTGGGAAATTTTCTTGCGTAATTTTCTCAGCACGGATTTAAGCACGAGAATTTAGAACAAATATGATGGCCTCCTTTTGTTTTCAACTCACAGGGTTGATAACAGTAGAGATTTTTCTTTAAGGTTCTTAAAGGATATGGACGTTCTTCGGCCTTAAGGCATCCAGTTCTACTTCAAACAATTCACAAGACTAACCTTTTTTTGCAATAATCTGCGGTATCACGAAACGAAAGTTCAAAAACGAAACAGTCGATTAAGATTATGTCAAAATATATAATCGCTTGACCCACCAGCAAACCAAAAAATTAAACTCCGATGTAGAGTTAACGTTCTTCATTGATGTCCTGTGGTACGTGGAAAGATCGACACACAATCCATTCCTGTGTCTTCTCTAGATACCTCAACTGCTTTGTACTCGTTTTTGCATTATGTCCTTTTCCATAATTAATATTTGTTATTCTATTTTTGCTTAAAATAAAATTTAAGACGGAGCTCAATCAATTTAGCCAAATTTTACATTTATGTACACAAAAGTGCTGTTTTGAGAATAATAGCATTTAAAGTTTATGATTTATACAATGTGAAAATCCAGTTCGTTTGCCTAAAACCCAGTGTATTGAATTTTCTTTTTATGCTAATAAGACAAAAGTTCTATTCTGGAGAGTCTGAGCTTTCCTAAAGAGAGATATGGTAATATTATTGTTAATCCGAATAGGTGTTTTAATTATTTTATCATTTATTTGGCCTCATCTAGCCGCCTGGATTGTGAGCTTCAACAGAGATCCCACTACAATTTAACATGAACACCCATATATTTCTAAACTAAGATGATTGACAAAAATTCCTAATTCTAGTAAATACCTCAAACATTTTTAGAACTTTTGTTTAAGCCAATAACCCAATGCAGTGTGTTGATGATATGTGTTTTTGACTAAAGATGCATGTTCTACACAGTTTAATCAGTACCAAGAAGTAGCTAAAATTCTAAGTTGAGATCACAACTGGTTGCAATTCTAAAAAATTTATTTAGTGGGTCTCCTTGTTAAGCTTCTCTTTTTAAATAGCCTACTTTTACTTACCAAGAAGTCTGACAACAAGTCAAGTTGAAAAGTGGTGTTCTGTAAGGGCATGTGAAATTTGTCTTGGCTTCCCAGGTCCTGGAGTAAGCTGTTGCGTACTGATATCACAATGTGCAATGAGCTTTAATAAAAAGTAAGGCCATCTGATCACGAAATTTTAAAAAAGAAAACAAAAATATAATTATTTATAACGTTTATTATGTTATTTCATTCGTTGGAACATTACTCCAAACTGTCACTATCAGCATAGTTCTATTTTTTCGCCACATTTACACTTTAACCTTTGCTGTTTTTTTCTACTGATTGCTATGATACTTATTTTATAGGAAAATCTGTATTAGAGGTTTAAAGTTCTGATTTGTCTTCGTTGTTCTTCGAAACCAGCAAGTATGTCTAATAGCGATTAGGCTGATGAATCACGTTTCCTGTCGTTTTTCTTTGTATGGAACAATATCTTTTATAATTAGGAAACACAAAACTAATTTAAAACTCCTGTAAATGTAGTTTATTTAAGCGGACAAATATTTTCCCAACTCTTGGGTTTTATGGCGGACAATGCCGCAGTTATTTCCTATGTCAAGGAATTGTACTAAAGTCTCTAGTAATAATAAAAAATAATAAATTTGTTACACGGTAATTAATTCAGAAGATTTTGCTTGATCGAGTGGATGGTGGATGGATGGTGTTGGATGGATGGTGTTTTTCCTCTTCAACGATACAAAAGCAAAGTCGAGACCACCTACGAGCTTAAAAAATTCTTTCAGTCTTTGATCACTTATATGCCAAAGTTATATTGATACATCCTACATTCAATTTCCATTTTCATTCAAAATGAAAAATTTGCTAAAATGGTCATTTAATTACAAGAAATTTAAAAATACATAATATGGCACTAGTAATTTACGGTGAGCTTTCTTATTGTGACGTCATAAATACCACCTAGAAACCAAAGAAAGAGCTCTCAAAAACATTATGATGTAAATTCAGGTTTTCCGAGGTTTAAAGTGGTAATTAAATGACATTGCACCAATGGGTTATTTTGTGGAGGTCTGTTGTAAGTTGAGGCATAGTCTGTAAAAAGAATAACTGATTTAACAAATAGGAGTTTATTCTCTTAAGTGAGGAAATTGTTTTTCTACGTGACGATCAAACAAGCTGTTCCTTGGACATATAATATTCCACATTTATGGAAATTAGAACCAGGTTCAGGTTTAGTTCAACCAATGATGACACATACATACTCTTCACAAACCCATTTTTTGAATGTAAAACCAAAAAGCCTTGTTAAAATCTTTGATGCTGCCAGCAAAAATGGTTTGAAAATTAAATTAGGCCGCAAAGATTGCAGATCTTAAGCCACGAGCATCGCAATAATTCAAAATTTTCTCTTACATGAATTGACTCTATGGCCACATAGCTAGCGTGATAGAAAATATGTTTTATTGCAGACATAGAAGCAACTTGCCACTTCTCGACTGCTAAAAAGACAGACGTGCTTTTGGTGTTCGTAAACCTCGAAGTGGGTTCAGAATGTGATATTGCGGAAATGGATTAAAATCAGGGAGAAATATTTTCCATACTTTATCTTAACAGGTAACAGACGACCCTCTAGCATTATAACAAGTCTGATTTTTTCATTTTGGTGGGCATTTGAGGGGTTTGACTATTATATAAAATTAGAGGCCGTCAGTAGATTCATAATCTGGATTTAATATAAATGAACACTAAACATATGACGAATTATAATTATTTAAGTATGGTAAAGACAAGGAAATATACCGTAACCATATACCGAATTCCTCTTTTATTCAGATTTTTTAGAGGTTTAATGCTACATGATAAGCATTTTAGACTTGAGGGCAGCAAGGTTTATCGATCATAAATATGTAGACTCAAATAAGACCTAGCAGTCACCAGACGTTATGCAGATCTTCAAAATCTTGCTGTATTGATTAAAGATTTAAAAGATTCACATCCTCTCTAACAAAATGACACCTGTAAAAGAAATGTCAAAATAAATTTCCACCTTTTTTATCAAAAGGCCTTCAGACATCGATCCAATACTGGGAAAATTAAACACTAATTACTGACACAAATCAAGTAAAAATTAGGCCTAGCTTTACCTACAAAGTTTTAATGTGTGTTTGACTGCCTGATACGTTTTAAGTCTCTATGAAATTGTTTGAATTATTCGTTCCTAGAAGCCACGCGTTTTGACGTTGTCGGTTTGGTCGTGATGGACAGTGTCGTCAGCATTTTCAGTTGGGGATCTTCCTTGTTCATAATTGTCACTACGGTTGTGATTTCGATTTCATTCTATCTCTTCAAAAACCTGACACGGCGTGGACACCGTCAGGCTCCAAAAAGTAGTCAAAAGAAGAATAAAGATAAAAAGGATGAAAGGAAGTCGGACAAGCAGTCTTATAAATCCGATAAAGTAAGTATATGTTGTTTGCTGACATTCAGGTTTCACCTAATTCGGCAAAGTCATATTCTTCGCAACCCCTTTCACCCAAGGTGGCTTCTGATGCTGCGCAGGCAGTCTCTGCTGTGAAAAAAGATAATTCACCAAAAAAACGAAAGGTACAGAATATTAGTATTTGTTCATGTATTTCAGGAGCCAATTACTATGACAGTTGAAGATGACTGGGTGGCCGTTAAGCCTGGTAAATCTCAATCAAGCCAATCGGTCACATCCGCCTCAACTGAAACAGCCCAGAAACAAAAACCAGATGTTCACCATAAGAAAGGTCAAAAGGATGTAAGCAAAAAAACTGAGACATCTCCACAAAAGATGAAAGTGACTGCATCTGCCGGCAAACAACCCTCGGAGGACGATGAGAAGTCTGCAGCTGTACGCGTAACGCCACCGGTTTCAGGAAATATGGTAGAAGGTAACCTCCTTTTCTCATTTGGTTTTTGCTAGATGATTGGCAGGAAATACCATCGACAAAAAAGAAGAAATCGCGTGCTAGGAAGGAGTAAATATTATACTTTAGTTTGGGCCCTCTTTTAAAATGTGCCTTAGCGTTTTTCGGATTACCGCGGCAGGCACCCACCGCATGACAACCTTGTCACCGATTAGCCGAATGACCGACTTTCAATAAGCAAATGCGCCGTGTTTTTCGTCTTTCTTACCTCCAAATGCGCTTCGAAATTTCTCACGTGTACATTGCCATTTTCTCCCGCTTTATGTCCTTTCTGTGGTCTATCTGTCTCTTTCCCCTATTTGTGTTGTATAGTCGTCCTGGTTGGGTATGTAATTAAGTATTTGCTTCTTTGCTTTCTCTTTTTCCTTACGATATGTTCCCTAAGACGTAAACATGGTGAACAATCTCTTGTCAATGGATTGTAGTCTTATCGGATGGCTGTCATGACTGACGGCTGCGAATTTATGTTGGCCTGGTGTCGTTCAAATTACGAGGTTCTATCCTCGTTTGGTATCAGGTTTCGTATATGATGTCATAATAAGTGCTCAAATTGCCATTGGTAATGTGCTTCCTGCACTTTGCGGTTTCGGTATATCGTGCTCACGTGGGGTACAATCTCTGAGTCAACCAATATTGACCCAGCATCAATCCGCTCGGGTCATCAGCTTGTTTGGCTAACTTGGTGAAAGTAGATTGTAGGATTTGTGATTGTGCTATCTAATGCATACTTGGGGGACCAGATTCTGAATTATCACTCGGGTTGCTTAGAAATGACTACTCTTTGGCCATTCGTGCACCTCACGTTAATGTTGGGTACACGCAGATAAACAATTCGACTAAATTGAGATTATTGCAGTAGTGTGATGCGATGGGTTGTGGTGATACCCGAGTAGTTGTATGTCTATTTTGAGGCATGAATTAGGAGTTCACGGTGCTGTCAAACGTGCAAATCTCCGATATTCCTGCATTGGGTTACCGCAAAATGTATTCTTACAATTGAGGCCTCTGTTCAATTAAGGACATTATAAGGTGTCAAATGTTTCTCCTGTAGAAGGTGTAAGGAATGAATGCTTCACTATATGGGGCGGGGTATGAACACATGTGGGAAGGGCCTTTGATGCATCTCATGAGTCATCCCGACGATCGACGTTCCTTACTACGAGGTGCAAGTTGGCCTCCATCTACCAATTTCAAAAGCCACCCTGTGCTAATCTCTACGTGTTTCATTTCTATATCTCCATTTTACCTGACCTCCTTATATGATAAGCAAATTAAGTCATTCTGCCCTCACAAATTTGATTCCATGTGGTCTTCTCGGAAACCTTGTTCGTATAGCAGCTTCTGTGTTACCTTATCTATTTAGAAAACACTCTTGTAATGTGAATTTTCTTTTTCCGCTTATCGTCATTTACTCACTTTTTTTCGGTATATTAGAACTGAGCAGAAGACGAGAGTCACTACAATGGCTTCAGTCTTGTGGAAATATGGGAACGTTTACATTAAGAACACAGATTGGGGAAAATTAATTTGAAGAACTCACGGAAGATTCTTTAAGGTTGCTGCTATCATTTCTTGCTTTCCCAAGGCTCACCACTCTATCACGATATCACATAGTGGGGTGATGAATATCTTCTGTCAAGTGTTACGTCAGCGAGATTGCTAGTGTACGAAATTATAAATATGGTTGCTCTTATTTTTTTGTGCGATTGCTGTTCAACAGTAATCTTTTTTGCTTTAAGACTAATGTCCAAATATAAAATCGCGTAAGGAGAATTTTCAGATGAAAGCACATGCTCGGATAAAATATCGAGTATCGTTATTACGAACCAAAAGACACTGTTCACTATTTGGAGTCTGTGGAATCTTCAAATGTTTAGAAATGACGAAATAGTGACTTTACAGGGTTTCTTAAGTGCATCCGGTTAATCCATTTCCAGAGCATCTGGCATTTCTTTTCAAACTTGCAAGCTACCTGAAGTAAATATTTACCAGTTTTCAATGACCACTGACGCCTTTTAACTGATACGTAAATCTATCAGCATTTCTGTAGGTACGATCTTTTTACTGACGAATCATCCTGCCACTAGCAAGGCAACTTTATGCTACTGAAATCTTGTGTTGTTAGATAATGGTATTTATTTGCTTGCACTAAACCCGTTTCTCTATTTAAGCTAGTATTTTGTGGGTGGCTTCACATCCAAAATTAAACTTAAGGTCCCATTCCTCAATTTCATTTATTACATTGCATGCACCCAATCGGCTTAAATTTAAAAGGTCTTGGTCTAATATTGAAAATTTTCGATTGCTTGTCGTCATATACACTATTTTACTAGAACCAAATTGTGTAAATGCCAATAGGAATTACGTAATTTAAGTGACAAGAGAACCATTGCTTCTACCGGTTAGAGTTGACCCGCACCACCTTCTAACAGCCTGAATTGACCCGTACCATCTTTCAACATGCAGATGTCCATACATGTAGAACCCTTGATGTTCTTGTAAATTTGGAATTTCACCATGAAATGCCTAGTCTTTAATAATTATTCTTTTGCTGATTTCAGTTAAAAACCTTATTGAAGACGCTTGCGGTTACAGGAATGTTACACCTGACATGCGATCCACGTGAACCAAACGCACCTAAAATAACATCACAGCATCAATATCTGAGACCTTAAGCCGCAGCTACTATGGAATCATTTCGATTGAATTAATTCAAAATATGGGAAGAATTTTCACGATTTATTATGGGCGTATTTCCCTTAAGCTGCATGTAACACATGTCATGTTATTTGAGAATAACCATTTGTTTTACCACACTCGCTTGTTGGGACACCATCAAACTCTGTATTTGTTGCGCACATTTAGTGTTTATCCTACTTATTGTTAAAATATTTTGTATTAAGGATAACAGCAATGTAAATTCACGTTCCTGCGTTGCTTTAAATTTCCCCGATTTCGGCGCGTATATCCACTATTGCTTATGCTGGTGCAACTTGCACCCATGATATTATTCAATATTTATAACAGCTGTTTAGTGAAGTGTAGGGGCTTATACATCTTGGACTAGGCTAGCCTCAGCCAAACATCGGTCTGTTTGCGTTCGAATGGCCTGCACGAAGATATGCAGGCAACGATAGACAGACACGTAAGAGAAGCAGCATATAATGAGGAGGAGCCAAAGTGGTAGACTCGGTGGATTGTACCTGAAGTACAGCTGTGGCTTGAGTGGCCAATAAAGTCTGTTCTGTTGTGTCAGTATTATTCTTACTAAGGTTCAAAAATCTGACAATACAATTCATATTTAATGGAAAGTCATTAGTAATTTAAGCATTAATGATACATTTTATCAGAACATTTTATTTCTTGAACAACATTTCATCCCTTTAACCTTGAAACTAAAAACGAATCTAAATTGTCTGCGGTTGGCACAATTATAATTGGTTTGATGGGGGAGTTGGATTGGTATTTATTGAAGTGGAATTAAAAGTTTAACAATTGGCCTGGAAAACAATATTGAGAATTTAATTTTGAAATGTGTATTCTTGAAATCTTAAATGTCTAACGGATTATAGGGGAATGTAAGCAAGAAGGCGAT